TTTAGAGATGAGTATAGTTCTTTAATGATATAAGAATTATACCTTCCTCTTTGACACCGCTTCTTAAAGTCTCTAGATAGCTGTGTCCCTGTTATAGTTAGTGTATAAGAAGGCTTAAGATACACTTTCTGTAACACTATATTTGAAAATCTAACTAAAAACAGAAAAAGAGGCACTACTATTCTTGTCAAAACAAGAAAAAAAGGTTTTAGTTTTAGTAATTGGTTTGGTGATAAAACAGTTCACTAAACATGCAAGTCTAAATAGAAGATTTATAGCTTATTTATTGAGAATTAGAAGAGCTACAATAGTGATGACTACAAGTATAAACCTCACTCAAACCAGAACAATTGGAGGTTGGAACTCTAAAGCTATCATGCTTTACTTGAGAACAGTATCTACTATAAAAGCCAGAATTTCTAAAAGCATGAGTTTTTAAAAAAAAGGAAGCATGAAGGATAGTGTAGTGAGGAAGAAGCTAAAACTTCAATAAAAAAAAAAATAAAAATAAAATAAAGGTGAGTGAAGGTAATGTCTACTCTAGAAGTTAGAACTAAAAAAAAAAAAATTTTGTTCTTTCTTTTATTTGGTAAGAAGATAATATCCACTGTGAGAGTTAGAATCTCTGTAAATTGAATTGATAGTGTAAATAAAGGAATGTTAAAGATAAACTAAAAATAACAAAGATTATCAAATTGATCCTTAGTCATGAACAATCCTGGCAATAATCCCATACTGTATTACAGATTATACAGAGCTATTGTTGGCTATAGAAGTCGTTCGTTTTGAACAAAGGAATAGGTTCCATAACAAACAATAATAATAACTCACTTGTAAACAAAGTCACAAGGTGTACATTATTGTGAGTCACTAGATTTCTATATGATAATAGATCACTGGAGTATTTGAAAAACTTGATGATCTATCTGCTTTGTTGTTTTTGAATCTTTCTGCTTGACTTTTGTATCCAATGATCCCTCCCACCACACTCAAAAAATATATATATATATATATATACGAAATGAAATGAAAATGAAAATGAAACCAAATGACAAAGAAATATGATGCTCACAAAGTCTGGTCACATGACCAAAAGTGGCTTGTTTACGACCCCATCCCATACTGTATTACAGATTATACAGAGCTATTGTTAGCCATGAAAGTCATTCGTTTTGAACAAAGGAATAGGTTCCATGACGAACAATAATAATGAGGATCAGAATATTGTAAAATACAGACTTGTGATTGGCTCAAAATTACATTAATCAATTTTTATACCTGGCTTTGAATAATAAAAATGAAAAGAATATTAGAGTAATATCTTCGTTCAAAATTTGTGAAAAAGTATTAAAAAACCCAGGAATTTTTATTAACACTTGATTAACTATCACAAGACATAATATAATAATTTATTCTATAACAAAAAGTTAGTATTCAGCAAGGAATCTTTGGAATTGTTATTTTTTAAATGGCAATTTGTAAAAAATGAAGAATTTGTAAATTTCTGCATGGTAAGCGATCACAGTAATTTGAAAAACGAAATAAACTTAAATATAAAAAATTTTTAGAGGAATTTACAAATAAGGGCCCAAAAATGTAAAATAATTACATATAGGGGCCCTATTTTAGCAAATTTTACTATATCTCGCGATACAGTAAACGATTTTGATACCATTCGAATCGTCTCTTCGAGACGGATTGAATGATACTAAAATCGCTAAATTTTAATGACGGTATAACAAGATATTACGATTTAAACAGACTTTAGAAAATGTTAAATAACTCGTAATGTAGTGATTAAAATTTGGCAATTTTGGTACCATTTAATGCTTCTCAATGAGACGATTCGAATGGTATCAAAATCGTTAAATTTCGTTTACGGTATCATGAGATATAGTATAAACTGTTAAAATTTATTAAAATAGGGCCTCTATATGTAATTATTTTACATTTTTGGGCCCTTATTTGTAAATTCCCCAAATTTTTAACTAAATTATAATTAAATATTTAAATTATCTTTATTAGCAATTTATACCGTATAATATTCTACAAAGTTTCTTTAAAGATTTGATAAATCTTATAAATTAAGACTCAGACTATAGAATATCAATAACCAACAGACTAATTATTTGTGATCTAAAACTACTTGTGTAGTCATAACTAGGGATGCTAAAAGTCCAACTCGACTCCACAGGTCGAATTTTAATTTAGATTCGGTCCCGTCCTTATAATCATGTGAAATTTGTAACTATCACATGATGTTACCAATAGTATTGCAAGATTAGAATAACGTTTTTTATCTTGGTGTCGCACATGAAATTTTTCACACTGCATACAATACGTGCATTACATGTCAATAACATCGGGTACAGTAAATGCAATAATATATAATGATAATGCAATTTATTTTTGAAATACCGAAGAATAAGAATTAGAAGGGAAATTTTATTAAAGACTTTCAAATATTAGCTTTTTCAGCAGATAATGAAGTTTTGTATTGTATTGTATTAATATTATGTATTTCAAACTTTCCATAAATCACTTAACAAGGAGTACTATATAATAACAAATCCTACCCGACTATTTAAGTTTACAGAATTTATTAATTAATTTGGAGAACTCAGTTCATTTTTCTATAGCTGCGGAGAAAAAGCTGCTTTTCATAGGAATTTCTCTCTTAATTATCAAATAAAATATCAATGTACTTCATATTATAATGTAAAAATGCTATCTTATCAACTATATCATCATTTTCATAAGTCTCTTTAAATTTCCAAATATTTAACGTAACTTTTTTATTTCGTACCAAATGTAAATATTCTTGTGCAATAGCAGCTAACCCAGGGAATGTATGTTTTGATTTTTGCCACCATTCATACAGACCAAGGTTTTCATTAGCGTAAGGTAAAAAACGTTTATGATGAATATAATATTCAAATTCTCTCCTTGCTGTTTCCAAATTATCATTCGTAAAACCGGGAAATTGTGAATAATAAGCTTGACATTTATTTAGCACAATCATTTTAGTTGTCTCCTAATATGTTATATAAAACATATTATTTATTAATATTGATTTATAATTTTAAACAATGTTAATATTTAATAAAACTTACATCCAAATTAACATCTAATTTCGAATGTGGATCTAAAAATTTACATATTTTCTCATGGTGATATGAAGAAAGTAAATTAAGTAAAAATATTAGAAAGGATTTAAGAGCCTTGTGTTCTAAATCAGTATCTTGAGAAATCTCAGTTAAAATATTAAATCCATTAACTAACATATCTACTAATATATCTTTTTTGTTTTTTTCAATGAGAACATCATCTTCAAAAGAGCTAAACAATTCTAATAATTTAGGTAATATTCTAAATGGCAATTTATCTAATGAAAGTTCATTATAACGACTGTGATTATTAATTAAAAGTTCAAAATGCCGTTGTCCTATTAATGTGAGAAGTTCTATTTTATGATAATCACAATCACAATTAATATTATTAATTGGCATATTCACTGCTCCTTGTGTTATTTGAAGCTCCAAAAATTCTACTATCTCACAAAGATTATTAGTAGCATTCAGAACAGCTGTGGCAATATTGGAAATTCCTTGATCATTGTCTCGCCCATTAACATTATTGACAATTTGTTTAGCCCATCTCTTTAAACTGTCACTTATTAAATTCTCATAATCCAGGTCATAAATGTCTAAGAATAAAAATACAATATCCTGATATTCTTCTTCCAGTTCAATAAAATCATCAATATTGCTATCATTATCAATATTGTAATCATAAAATTTCAAATTAGTTAATTCCCACTTATCCAAAGCCTCGATAATATCATTGCAATCTTCTTTCACACACAGCAAGATTTATGAAACTCAAAATCCTCATTTAGCCAACAACAAGTAGCTATATTTCTAAATTCTTCCGTATGTTCATAATATTCTTCATCTTCATCAATTAAGAGCATGACAGATTTTGCTTGCTGAACTTTTGATTTCAATTGAGAGAATAAGCGATCATATACTTTGTTGATTTGCTCTTCTATAATGCTAGAAGTAATGTGTATATTAACAAGTTTAGAAAAATTTAAATTATCAACGATGCTAAATGGTAATAGACAGGAAACAATTAGTTTAATTAATTCCAAATTAACTTCAAAGTTGTTAAAGTTATTATTTGTTAATGATGATTTAATTGATGTTGTGAGTGCTGAAGATTTTGATTTACGATGTTTCTTAAGATGGGCAGGAAGGTTAGAAGTTGATCCGTGCCATACATATCTCGTACTGCATCCAGGAATCTTACATTTTGCTACTATTCCATCTTTTGGGTCTTTAATTCGTTCAAAATACTTCCAACAAATGCTCTTCTTATTATTATTTCTAGAACGTAGGGGTGATTTATGAGTACCATCACTTTCCATAACTGAACTGTTTTCATCGTCAGAATTAGAAAGGAAACTTTGATTTTCAGCCATTTTAAGAAGATATGTAAGGTTAAAAACAATTATTATATATTAGTTATAAACCGATAAATTATGTAAAGGCAAAAACCAATACGTATAAATTATGCGTAAGTACTGTATAGTACAGTACGTACATATTTATTATTAGAAATGCTATACGTCATTTTTCAATTTACGTCGATTATTAATTGACGCATGTCATTCTTCAATTGAAAAATGACATACGTCGTTTTTCAATCAGTATGAATTTTGCGGATTAAAAAAAAGTTGCCAGAAAAATTATTTATATTAAATATTTAAATTCTAATTTAGCTACATTTTGACCGAACATATTCAAATTAATGTAATATTTTAATATTTTAATAATAAAACTAACAATTTTTGCATTGTCCATGTAAAACACATCTACAGCGTCTTGAGCATAACGAATTATTTTTTCTGCAAGAGCATGATTTCGTGTTGCAATTCGTTTTTCGGCAATGGCAACAGTCTGGACGAGGTCTTTGGCTTAAACCAATATTTCCATTATTTATATCATTACTTCAATTAAAATTTATATTAGCGTTAGTAAAATTATTATTAAATTTTTAAATGTATGAGTTGAGCGTTCTTAGATTGAGCATTCTTGAGTTGGTTCGGGTGCTCTTGAGTTGTACCCCATCAGAAATTCGAGTCATAGCAATAATATCTATTTAATAACATATATAATAATAATTTTTTTTTTTTTATATTAATGTTACAAATTATTCACTTGCCTGTATATAATTTAGAAATAATTAGACACATCGGTGTGATTCTTTTTGGCATTTTCCGAGTAACGCATACCTTACATTCATTGACAGCGTCTTCGACTAACGGATCTATTTATTATAAAATAAAAAAAATATATAAAACTTTCGCCAGGTCTTCCTGATGAGCACCACAAATAACTTTGTAGAAATTAACCACGCACTCTTGGGTTCCCATATTATTTCTGCTTTGTTTACGTATGTAAGTACTATAATACTAACGCGAAGAACTTTAAAAGTATTGATCGCTTAATGTTTAAACGTTAGGTTACACTGAATATCTATTTTTTTTGTAGTTTAGATATTCAAGCTTCGTTTATTTTATTTTATTTTATTGATTTGTATAAGTTTCATGGGTTAGAACAACTTTGTGAATTTCATTATTAGCGAAGAAAAAATGAAGTATAATTACAGAATTATTAACGAAGAAAAAATGAAGTATGGTAAAGAACTTCTTAAAAAAACATTTTATTTATTTACCATCATTCGTATCAATATAATACGTAATAAGTTCTGTCTGTCATAATCCATCGTTGAATTATAATATGATCTACATTAAAAATTGACCTGCGTCGTTTATCAATCGGTGAAAATTGAAAAATGACAGGCGTCAATTAATAATCGACGCAAATTGAAAAATGACGCATAACAGAAATACGTACGTTGAGAAGGTGTGAACCGGTTCTGGAACGGAACTCGACCGGAGATTTATGGTCACACCAATATTCGGATCTACAAATAACCAATACTAATCCAACAATATCAACCCTAAATTGGTAGGCTGAAAGACGGCGTGGAAGATTGGTCCGGGTCTTAGGGATCTTGTGGATTAACCTGTAGTTTAGCCTGGTACTCGAGGGTAGGAGTTTCGTTATTCTTGGTACTTATACTTTAGAATAATTTCGTGGCATGTGATTTGATCTTCTTTTCTAATTGGGCCGATGGTTTAACAATGGTGAGGAGTTTATCAATAAAACTATATGCAGGATGATTGTTTATTGTTTAAATTGATCGGGTTTTGATTATATCGGGGGGCAGTGATGGTAAATGACCTGGTCATTTGATCAAAATTTAAATGACCTCTAGTCATCAAATAATGACCAGGTCATTTGGGTCATTAGGTCATTTAGGTCATTTACATATGAAGTAATTTTATTGGTCAGATATCTAATATAAAAAATTATTATTTCACTATCGATAATTGTAGCTACATATAAAAGTCAAAAATTTACTAAGCTAATTGATAAATTCGTCTTAAGTAAAGTTGTTCAAAAGAACAAATTGCATATAATCTGAAAATTTCGTATAATTTTAATAACTTTTTATTAAGTTATTTTTATGTTTTACATTTATATGAAAAAATTTAAATTTTTTTATATAAACATAAAACATAAAAATGACTTAATTAAAAGTTATTAAAATTATACAAAATTTTCAAATTATATGCAATTTGTTCTCTTGAACAACTTTACTTAAAATAAAATTATAGATTAGCTTAGTAAATTTTTGACTTTTATATGTAGCTACTATTATTGATCATATTTTATAAAAATTAATTTTGTCTAATAATCGATTTTAATTGGCTAAATGATATTAGATTATCAATTAACAGAAGTTAAATAATCTTCTTAGATCATTTGTGTTTTGAAATAATCCAATGACTAGTTATTTGTTATTTGAGTCATTTGTGCTATTTCAAGTTATTTACCATCACTGGTTCTGTATATCTCTTTTTTGATACTTTGTTAATTCCTGAGTTCAAAATCTTTTTCCTTAGAATCTCTTCTTTTGCAGCTTGTTTAATACATCTATTTATACTATTAAATTCTCTATTTAAATCTATATTATCAAAGTGGTCTGTACTATTGCTCAGATCAGAGTACTCTAGCTATAGCTTTGGGTTTATATACTTTTTAAGCAATTAGTGAAGCTTCTTTTTATAGTTATTCTACTCTTCAACAGTAGCTTTGTTATATTCAAAGATTGTTCACTTCTCTTCTTTTCTTTTTTTTTTGTGCTAGACTATTTTTATATTCTAGATAGTTTAATATTAATCTAGCTAATATTAAATCATAATCACTATTTGTATCTATACTCATATCTTCAATTAATGTTTTTTCTAAACTATATCCTAGTGTGTTTGATATCTAGATCTGATCAATTCTTGTTTTGTCTTTTCTATTGCTCTATGTAAAACCTTTTTTACTTGGATATTTTTCTCTAAAAGTATCTATAAAATCTTGTTTAATCATCTAACTATATAATAGCAATTTTTTGAAGTTATTATTTGTATTACTACTTCTATCTAATACTAGTTGTATAACATAATTAAAGTCACTCATTATTACAAATTACATATTTGTCTTTTTCTGAGCAATTTCTTTCATTATAATTCTTTGCACTTCTTTTCTTTTCTGTTGATTATTTAGTACTATGTATACTATAAAAACTACTAGTTCTAGTTGTCTAAAGAAGAAATGCAACTCCAGAAGATATCTACTATATTTTTTAATTTGTTTTGCATATTTTGCCTATTTGCTACTCACTATTGCACTGATACCTAACTCTTTGTTCTTCTTTTCCTCTGCACTAGTCCAAAAACTACTGATATTACTTTCTTGATTAACTATATAATAATCCTCTTTACTTGTAATATTAGTTTCTACTAATCCTATTATATTATATTTCTCACTTTCTATTCTTTTGATTATTGGTTCTATTTTGTGTCTATTCCCTTTTAGACTATTAATATTATATACAGCAATTCTTAAATATCTTCTAACTTCGCTAATATTACTTTTCCTATTACAACTCTTGCTACTTTTATCTAGTTAGTTTGTGTTTAGTAGTACCTTATTGTTCTGAGCAAGTTTTCCTTTATATTCATTCAGAGCTTTCTTTAATTCAACTAGTGCGAAAGTTAGAAGTAATTTTGGGTTATCTTTCTGATACCTATTATTATCTCTTCGAAGCTTTGAAGCTGCTGAGTTATATATACAAGTGATGATTCTTGAGAGACTCTTAGAAGTTGTTTATCTAAGCTTAGCTTTTCTGTATTGCTATTACTCTGAACAGAGCTTTTCTTTTGAAATTTACTACTCTTTGCTACTTTCTGAATATGTTTTGAGCATTCAGCTTCTTGCTTATATATTATCTCTTTTCTTTTTCCTAGACTCTTAGCACTTTTTTTTTTGTTATACTATAGTCTTCATGATTCATATTACTTATAAATTCTGAAGATTCTTGGTCTAGTTCTGCTCATTTTAACTTACTATTATAATAGTGTATTAAAAATTTAGAGCTATTTATTCTGTCTTTTTCTTTTTTAAAATAAACTGTTATACTACTCATCTTGTTATTATTTGAGTTTTTGAAGATATGAATTAACTTAGTTTCTGTTTTTTTTAATTTGTCTATATAAGAGCACTTTATTCATATTTGCAGGAAGTTCTAGAAATCTTCTACTATATTTACTTCTTGCATATAACATTTTATGATCATTAACTCCTAATGTTACTCTAACCAAGATTTGATTCATAAAAAATAAACACTATATTTCTTTTAATTTTCTTTTTTCACATAAGTTTTCTTTAAAGCTTACTACAGCTTTAGTTTTATCAGATGAGCTTCTAATTATTTCTATGAACTCAATTCTTTTCAAGAATCAGACTATTTCAAAGATTTAAGTTCTTTTAACACTATCTAATAAATTTTATATTGTTATCTTATTATTATCAATTGTAATACTCAGAGATTCTTTAGATTGTAAGCTTATATTATTTTCAGTTTTAGAATACTCTGCCACATCTAAAACAAAGCTAAGTTTTCTTTTTCTTTGTTTAAAAATTTCTTCTAGTTCAAGTTCTGCTTGCAGAGATCGTTGATCTTTAATTTCTTAATCTAAAGTTAGTATAGCACCTTGAGCTTCATTGATGTGATCTTCTTTTTGTTTTGAAATATTAATATTTTTTGTAATACTCTTCTAGGTTTTTAGAATATTTTCTTCTTGAGTTTCTTTCTTTTTAGTATCTTTAGCTTGTACTTTTAAAGTAGGTTTTGTTGGTCTTAGATTTTTTGTTACTATTTCTTCTCTTAATAATCTAATCTGTTTAAATTCATCTTTTCTACTTGCTAACATTAATTGTATACTATTAAAACTACTTTCATAGT